TGTCCCGATGATGATGATGATGATGATGATGATGATGATGATGATGATGATGATGATGATGATGATGATGATGATGATGATGATGATGATGATGATGATGATGACTATGATGATGATGATGATTATAATAATAATAATCATAATAATAATAATAATAATAATAATGTCGATGATGTTGACGATGATGATGATGATGATGATGATGAAGATAATGGTGATGGTGGTGATGATGATGGTGTCCTCCCGATGATGATGATGATGGTGATGATGTTGACGATGTTGATGATGATGATGATGGTGATGATGATGATGGTGTCCCGATGATGAGGTTGGTGATGATGTTGCTGATGATGCTGATGGTGCCCCGATGATGATGATGTAAATGATCTTGATAATGTTGATGATGATGAGATGATGGCGAGATGACGATGATGATACAGATGATGATGATGATGCTGTCCCCATGATGGCGATGATGAGGTTGATGATAATGATGCTGTTGATGATGATGGTGTCCCGATGATGATGGTGATGATGATGATGATGATGATGTTGATCATGATGATGACGATGATGGTGTCCCGATGATGATGGTGATGATTTTGATGATGCTGAGGATGATGATGAGGTAGGTGATGATGATGATTTTGATGACGGTGGCTCGATAATGGTGATGATATTGATGCTGATGTTGATGACGATGGTGCCCCGATGATGATGGTGATGATGATGGTGATGATGATGATGATGGTGACGATGATGATGGTGTCCCGATGATGATGTTGGTGATGGTGATGTTGCTGATGATGCTGATGGTGCTCCGATGATGGTGATGCTGATCATGTTGACGATGTTGTTCATGATGATGATGATGGGATGAAATAATGATGGCGGTGTTCCGATGATGATGATGGTGTCCCAGGATGATGATGTTGATGATGTTGGTAACGTTGATGGTGTCCCGATGATGATGGTGATGATGATGTTGATGATGATAGTGATGAGGTGATGATGATGGTGTCTGATGATGATGATGATGATGTTGATGACGTTGATGCTGTTGATGATGATAATGATGACGTTGATTGTGAGATCGATAGTGAGACCGAATGTGAGATCGATTGTGAGATCGATAGTGAGATCGATAGTATGATCGATTGTGAGATCGATAGTCAAATCGATTGTGAGATCGATCGAATGAAATAGATCGAGTAAGATCGATTGTGAGATCGATCGGGTGAGATCGATCGAGCGAGACCGATAGTGAGATCGATAGTGAGATCGATAGTGAGACCGATCGAGTGAGACGTTGGTTCCTCCCCCCCCCTCGAACCTCCTTATCACCCGAAGGGTGGGCGTACAGGTATGGTAATTATGATGTTCACGGTCATGGTAATGATGGTGGACGGTGATGGTAATAGTGATGGTGTGATGATGCTGGTGATGATGATTTTGATGATGCTGATAATGATGATGATGATGATGGTGATGAATTTAGTGATGATAATGATGATGGCGATGATGGTAACGATGCTGATGCTGATGATGACCATAACGACGATAATGATGGTAATGATGATGATGAGGATGATGATGACGAACACGATGCTGACAATGATGCTGACAATGATGATGAATTTGGTGATGACACGAATGATAGTGATCATGCTGCTGATGATTTTGATAGCGATGATGATGATGATGATGATGATGATGATGATGATGATGATGATGGTGATGGTGATGGTGATGGTGATGATGATGATGATCCTGAAAGTGAAAATGATGATGATGATGATGATGATGATGATGATGATGATGATGATGGCGATGCTGATGACGATGATGATGCTAATAACGATGATGATGATGCTGCTGATGATGATGATGATGATGATGATGATGATGATGATGATGATGATGATGATGATGATGATGATGGTGGTGGTGGTGGTGGTGATGGAGATGACGATGCTGCTGATGATGAAAATGATGAAGATGCTAATGATGGTGAGGAGGAGGAGGAGGTGGAGGAGGAGGAGGAGGAGGAGGAGAGGGAGGAGGAGGAGAAGGAGAAGAGGGAGGAGGGGTCAGAGGAGAACGAGGATGAGGAGGAGGAGGAGGAGGAGCGTTCTCAGCAGAAAAGGAGGAGAGGGCGCCTGCTTTGGGAGCGACTTGTTGGCGATGTTCTTCAGGAACTGGTCGAACTCCTGTCGCCCTCTGTCCTGCAGCGAGAAGAGATGGGTTGAGTAGGAGGAGGAGGACGAGGAGGAGGGGGGGGAGGAGAAGCATGACCAGCTGGAGGAGCAGGAGCGGGAATAGTCCTGCAGGACGCTGCCCAGCGACCAAGTAAGGCAGAACACGTAGATGTTCTCCACTAGATCGATCCCTGTGCTGTTCTCGTCGAACATCGAGTCGAAGAGCCTCGAGAACTGCACGACCGAATCAATGCCCATGTTGGACCGCGGGAGGAAGCTAGGCAGGGGCTTGCCGATCTGGTCGCCGGTCCTGCAGGGACGACCTACAATGCAGCAAGCGGAGGACAAAGAACATTAGGCTGAACACGTGTTTGCTCGCGCTTACGTTGTGGACGCATTCCTGTTCACGCTATACGGACACCCATGGGTAGACGTATAGATAACTCGCTCGTACATGTGGCCACCATGGCCCGTCACGTAAAACATGGATCGAAGAAGGTTGACGCCTCTTGGGGGCACATGCTTTACTCCTGCTGGTCTACACGGGCCTCCTGCCAGCTTCCGCATGCAGGGCCGCCCTGGCGCTCCTCCCGCCGGTGCCCGCCGAGGAAGAGGTGCCAATCTCTCGATCCCTCAAACGGTAGGCATGTGCGGGAACGCGCCGTATGCATGAGGTCCTGCCCTCGAAGACAAAGGCGATCAGCGGCGGGATGTACTTGTCGTAGAGCTCCTCCAGGAGCTCCCTGAGCTTGTCGGACGTCTTGGACCTCGGGAGGGCAGGAAAGGGATGCGGAGTTGGCAGAGGACAAGGATGAGGAGCTGTGTATGGACCGCGCCCAGCGGTCATAGTACGGCCCAGGTCCCAGGTTCTTGTCGTCCACGTAAAGCATGCCACATCGGCTGACGGTGGCGGGCGAGGCGTACTGCAGGTCGAACACCTCGAAGAGCATGGCGCAGTGCTTCTCCAGCCGGATGCGCTCGCCATTCGTCAGGGTGAGCAGTTTGTTGTCGTCCATGACCGAGTTCATGTTCTCGATCCAAAGGGCGTCCACGTCACCGTCGTACAGGATGTACCGCCGGACGGGCTTGTCCGGCGCGTGCGGCTGGTTCATCTCGCGGAAAATCTTCGACAGGAGCCCGTCCGTCCAGTCCCGCGTGGCGGGGTCCAGGACGCCGTAGAGCTCGTCCGTGGGGATGGCCTTGGGGTTGAGCGGGTACATGGTCGTCGGGAGGTTGAACGCTTTCTTCTGAGCTTCTGCGAGGGTCTTGAGGATGACGCTCTTGCCCCCGCCCGAGGGCCCCACCACCATGGTGGAGTGCCGCGTCAGCATGGTCTCGTACAGCTGCATGACCTTGTCGACCTGCAGCGCGTAGATCTCCTCGTACTTTGACTTCATGCCAGCGTCCTCGAGGGTCTCCTCGATCCCAGTCTTCAGCGCAGCGTTGCCGACGCGGGGGCAGTCCAGGCCAGGGAAGAGATCGTTGAGAAGCCCAGAGAACAGGGGCACGTCCTCCTTGACGAACTTCGGCATGTTCATGTCGCGCAGGGCGCGCATGAGCACCATCTCTTCGGGGAGGTCCGCCGCCTCGCGCTTCAGGTCGCCAGCCATGACCAGCACCGATTTCAGCGCGCGCAGCTTGAAGTCGTAGTGGTACTGCTTCGACAACTGCCCCGCGGACAGCGCGTAGAGCACTGTCATCTTCTTCGCCAGCACCTTGGCCGAGTTGAAACCCTCGGACATGAGCATGTTCTCGCAAATCATGAGCAGGTCAGGTACGATCATGGTGACGGGCCGGAAGAGCGCCTTGAGGTTATCCGGCAGCTCAGACCTGCCCGCGTAGCCGGGGTTCATCGTGATGAAGTAGCCGATGGTGGTCTTCAGAGCGACATCGCGCCCCAGCATCTCCACTGTCTTCTTCTTCTGGTCGAGGCCGTTCTGTATGGTCTTGATCTGCGCGGCCACCACCGAGAGCACCTCGACGTTGATGCGGTTGAACTCGTCGAAGCAGCCCCAGAAGCCCGTCTCCGACAGGCCGCTGAAGATGACACCCATGGCGCGGTAATCGAGGCCGTCCCCGCAATTGGTGACGACGCACGAGATCGCCAAGGACTTCGCCAAGTCCTTCACCGTCTCCGTCTTGCCGGTCCCAGCTGGGCCGGCGGGAGCGCCGCCCATGTTGAAGGTAAGGGCCGTGGTGAGGGTCATGACGCATCGGTCCGTGAGGGGCGTGATGACGAGGCGGCCGTTGAGGCCCTGGTACTCGTAGCAGTACTTGAGCTGGCCGGTGCACTGCCTGATGACCACGTCGTCCTGCTTGCGATCCCAATAGAATCGCAGCTGGGACTCCCAGGCGAACTCCTCCCGGCTCAGGATGCTGTCGCGCACAAACCTGTCGACGATGTCGCGTGCGTGCACGTCCAGGATGATCAGCGTGTTCACCTTCTTGCGCTGCAGCTTGTTGATGGGCTGCCGCACGAGCTCGACGAGGTCGTTCACCTGGCGATTCTCCTTCCGGAGCTCGTCCTTCATGGCGTTCTTGTTGCCCTCCGCGACCTTCCGGAAGGCGTCTTCGACCGACCAGGTCCACCAGATCTGCGTCCCCAGGATGGCCACCATGCCAATGTACTCCTGTATCCACGGCATGCGCTCCTGTGCCGCGTAATGGTACACTGCGGCCTTGGACATGCGCTGGAGCGTGTCTTGCATGGCCTCGTCGACGTTGCGCATCCAGTCCTCCACGGAGCCCTCGGCCTGCTGTGCTTGGTGTAACTTAAAGTGCTCGTCCTCATCAGAGAACATGCCCACCACCAACCGCGCACGGCCAAACTCCAGCTGCTTGCAATTGTCGAATAGCTTCAGCATGTGAGGCTGCACAGCCTTAGCGTCACTGGTGCCCAGGATGCTGAGGAGCTCCTCGTCGGAGATCAAATAGAATCTCGGGAAAGCCGAGCGCTTAGTGTCCAGATAGTCGGTGAGGGACTTCTGGATGCGGTCAAACTCTGAAGTTAGTGTTTTGAACTCCTCGAGACGACCTTCTTGGCAGCACGCGGAGAGCACCTGAGGCTGAGACTGTGTCGTAGACATGATCTTCGTGAACGCTGCGTGTGCACGACCGAACCTCTTTGCTTCTTCTGGAAGCTGCAGACTGATATCCTCCGAATCTAAGAAAATACTCTCCAGGTACATCCACTTGCGCTGCAACACCTGCCACGCGTCGAACACCTCACTGATCGTGGAGAGATTCTTCTCCCAGCGCTTGATCGTATCGATCAGCTTCGCGGCATACTTGGAAGACAACATGGACTGCAGCGACAGCACATGGTCTTCGAGCGTCTGCTTCATCTCCTCATTCGGGAGCAGGACATAGCCTCGAGGGTTCTGTGGGTCTCCTTTGTAGGCCTTCATGCCGTTGGGCATGAAGGACATGCTACGCCAGGCGCTCTCCACCTTCGACAGCTCGCTCTCGATCTTCAGCTCGTTCTGGGCCGTCACGACGATCTCGTTGACCTCATCGGGGAAGCGGCTCAGCTTCATGTTGAAGACGCTGGTCAACGTCAACTTCTTGAAATCGAAGTCAGATGCGTCCATGCCGGCGATCCTCATCAACTCCTCCCAGTGCATCGGCCGGATGGCGTCGCTCTTCAGCTGCTGGATGAGGGGCACGGAAGTCTTGAAAGATGAGACCACTTCCTCGAGCTTGTGGAAAGTGGTGAGCTCGCCGAGCTCCTTGGTCTCTTTTGGCATCCGGTGCACAAACTTGTCGAACTCCTCGGCGCTCTTCGCCAGCGCAGCGATGTCGACCTTGCTCCACATCGCCGAGCTGTACTCGGTCACCATGGCGCTGTGGTCCTGGAAGACCTTGTAGACCTGCGCGAGCAGGCGCAGGTCCCTCTCCAGCTGCAGCAGCTCCTGAGGAGCACGCGAGTGGCGCGCCTGTCCCGCGCGGCAGAGAGGGGAGAGGGGATGAGCAAGGTCAGCAGGCAACTACTGGGAGGCTTTCGTCGGAAAGATTAAGGAGGATTGAGCCCCATTTGGGAGCTGTTACGCCGGAATGGAGTGGGCCTCGGACTCAGCAGGATTGAGCCGGATCAAGCAGGATTAAGCGGGATTAAGCCAGATTAAGTGGGATTCAGCCGGATTTCGGACCAGGGCGAAATCAGAATTTGACCTCCCAGGAGCTGCCTCCGAAGCAAGGGGCCCGAGGAGGAAGAGGACAGCGCGGCGAGTGCGTTTCTTCTGCTCCCCCCAGCTCCGGGTAGCTCTGGATGGGCAGGTTGAACAGTGTCTGCGCCTTCACGAGCTCCTCACGCTTCTTCTGGAACTGCTTGCACTCGTGGTCGAACTTTCGAAGAAGGTCCACCCCCTCTTCTAGGGAGACATCCGGAGAGCCCGGGCCCTCCTGCCTGTAGGTCTTGTGCAGGTCCCTGCAGTCGCTGGCGAACTGCTCCACCTGGCCAGTGGTGACCTCGGCGAAGCGCTCCTTCACTTTGATCATGCGCCTGTCCTTCGTCAGCGCCTCGTCCTTCAAAGCGCTCCACTCTCCTCCCAGCGCGGCCACGTCGTCCAGCTCCTGCTGGACGCACTCGCAGTTGTACAGCGTCAGCGTCCGGTACCTAGGAGGACGCCAACTATACACCTACACCGATTCTGGCCAGGCCCAATCGGGGCTCAGGATGGGCTTGGCCAGGACTGATATCGGTGTACAGTTGGGGTCCCCCAAGTACCGCTCGCGCACGTCCTGTATCCTCAGCTCCATGTCCATCGAGACAGCCAGGATCTGCCCGATGAGGCTAAGGATGCTCTTAAGTTTGTCCAGCGAGTCGGGCATCTCCTGTAGCTGGCTGCGGTAGTTGGCCATCTCCGACTGGATCGTCCTGAGGTCCTTCAGCGCGAGCCTGCCCAAGATGTCCCCGTAGCCCGCCACCCAATCCATCGACTGGGACCTGATAGCCGACACGATGGCCGTGGAGTCGATCCGCACGAAGCCGATGTCTTTCTCGGGCGGGTAGGCCGCGAGGCTGTCGGCGAGCCCCTGTGAGAAGGAGAGAGAGGAGGCGGAAGATGATGAGAAGGTGGGGGAGGAGAACGATAGGGGGATGAGCAGGAGCCTTGTAGACGCAAATGTGAACGTCGAAGAATACGAAGGGCGGCTTCTTTTCCGCTACCTTCTCGAGCTCCTGCCGGAATTTCGGGTCCCACAGTTTCCACGTCTCGTCGTACTTGCGCCAGTGCCGCAGGAACTTGGACATGATAGTAAAAATCTTCTGGATATTGTTGTGGATGTTGATTATCATTTCGATGAGGGCTGGGTTGTCCTTGACGTCTCGGTAGAAGGTGAACAACTGTTGGTCCTCCTCTGGGTTCGGCTGTTGGGGAACCATCTTGCATGTGCCATCCATCCATCGAACGAAGGAGTTCGCTGAGTGGACGGTGTTCTTCAGTATCTTGGTGAGCTGCCTGAAGACGGCGGCCAAGGGGTTATCGTCCACGTTGCCGTCCTGCGGATTGCAGTCCGCCTTGACGCGCAGCAGCGGCGGCCGTCGCCTCTCGTTCGCGCTGAACAGGGTCTGGAAAGCGCCCATACCCCTGAGAAGCATGGAGGTGATCGCGTTGAATATGCGGCGCTCCCAGTAGTGGTAATACTCGGTCATCGACGGAGCACAGCCGGTCTTCGTGCCGGCTGTGATCTCCTCAATCTTCTCCAGGGACTTCTGGAGGTCCTCCAGGGGAACGAAGAGTGACATGAACATAAAAACTCGGAGGTCCGCGCGGATTTCTCGGATCGGCGCTGGATCCCCCTCCCTGGCGCGCGGAGCGCGCCAGGGGCGGCGCCAGAGGCGCCGCCAGGGGGGTCCAGCGCGGATCCAAGAAATCCGCGCGAACCTCCGAATTTTTATGTTTATGACGCTTTTCGTTCCCCGATCCTCGTAACGTGTGACGAGGTCCTCCACGACGGCCACCCGGTGTCTCTCAAAGTAGTCGTAGAACTCCATGTGGTCCATGACCTCCGTGCGCTGCCAGTCGAAGGGGCGCACCAAGACCGCCTTCTCGATGAGGTCGACCACCGCCTGGATTCAAGTCGGGCCTGCCCCCCTACAGGGGGATGTTGGACGAAAACAAAAAAACCCAAAATAATTAAAAATGGTCAAAAATACCAGAAAAATAATCCCCCGACTATGTTTTCACTATTTTGGGGTACTCCCCCTGTAGAGGGACGGGCCCGACGTATGTAAGCCTGGATCCGCTCCTCGCTCTTCTCGACCTGGTCGCGGCTCGACTGGAACTTGCTGATCCCCGTCTTGCACGCCTCGATGAAGTCGTTGATCCCGAGGGAGTTCCAGTTCAGCGGCGACAGGCCGGGGCTCAGGCACTTGTCCAGGTCCTGGATCTGCTTCTTGAGGAGCTTCTGCTGCACGGGCGTGAGGTCCCCCACGACCTTGTTGTAGTCCTCGGGGGCCGTGCTCTTTCTGTCGGCTGCAGCGCTGGCGGAGCACGGCGCGGTCGGAGCCCAAGGGGGGGGGCCTCGGGAGCACGAAGGAGGAGGAGGAGGAGGAGGAGGAGGAGGAGGAGGAGGAGGAGGAGGAGGAGGAGGAGGAGGAGGAGGAGGAGGAGGAGGAGGGAGGAGAGAGGAGGAGGAGGAGGAGAGGAGCGAGGAGGAGGAGGAGCGAGGCACGAGCGTAGAACTGACCTCTCCAGGGTCCGCGCAGCTCTCCTCCGTCGACGCCGGGCCCCCTCCCCCCGCACCGCTCCCCTCCGGGCCCCCCCAAAAAGACGGGGGCTCTGGCAGACCACGCCGCCGGCACGCCCGAGGAAGCTGCAGCCCTGAGCCTCCACGTCCCTCCCTCCCTGGCTCTCTCTCCAGCTGGAGCTCTCGAGCTCCTGGCCCTCGAGATCCTCGCTTCCAGGGGGGCCCCGGCTCCCCCCGCGCGCGCAGCGCTCCGCGGACGGCGACAGGCACACCGCCCGGGGCTGCGCAGAGGGGGGGGGGGGGCCCAGCGCCGATCCAAGAAGCAGGGGCCACCGATCGCGAGTCGCAACAGCCCCTGGGGCGGAGGTGGTTCTGGGCGCTTCCCTTTCCAACCCCCCTCTTCCCCTTCTGACTGCCTACCAGACAGCCCCAACCCAACCCAACCCGAAGAGTCGAATTTCGGGTTGGGGGGGGTACGGGCTTCATGTGTGTGTTTTTGTAAATGTTTCCCGACCCCCCCCCAACTGGAAATGGAGGGCAAATCGAGGCCTTCGGGCTGGGTTGGGGTGCTTTGGTGGGTGGTGACCTTCGGGGAGGTGCGCATCGCTGTTCCTCATTAAAGATGCACCCCCTCCACCCCTGACCGGGGGCGAACCAGGAACCATGACTTTGGACGCCCGAAATGGGTACGGAAAAAATGGGTACAATGCCCAACAACAAATGTTGTCCCAAACCAACAGCGGCCGTTGTTGGGCAGGCGGCCTTCTGTCTCGAATGGACACAGGCCGCGGCGGCGTGGACGGCGAATCCTGTTCAAAATGAACAGGAACTGCTGTTGGGCATTGTACCAATTATTTCCGTACCCATTTCGGGCGTCCAGAACGGCAGCATTCCCCATCCTCGTCAAAACCACATAGCATGCACGTTGCGGCGAAATCTGACCACGCGCGAGCACCAGGCGATCACGTTGCAGTGCTTCGGGGGCGAGGGGGTGCCGGGCACATTGCCTGCTGCGCGCAAGCCCATCACCACTGCCAACAACCAGTATTAAGCACATCTTTCCGCAGCGATCATGCGCGGGCACCCCGCCATCACTGTTCATTGGTATTTGGGAAGGATTACACCAGAGAGAAACCCCAATCAGTGGGTGGTTTGGAAATTAGTGATGTGGATACTGAGATCGATTCTGATATCGATAGTGAGATCGATAGTGGTATCGATAATGAAGACGATTGGAATGTAAGGTCGATCGTGAGATAGAGAGTGAAGTCGATTCAATGCGATCAATAATTAGATCGATCGCGAGATCGCTCGTGCGATCTATAGTGAGATCGCTTGTGTGATCGGTAGGGAGATAGATCATGATATCGATGGTGAGATCGATAGAGAGGTGGGTAAAAAGATCGATGGTGGGACCGATCGATAAGAAAATCGACCGGGAACCCGGGAGCCCGGGAACCCAGAACCCACCGAAATCGGCCCGGAACCCATAACCGGGAACCTGGGAACCCGGGAACCCGGAACCCGGAACCCAGCGTGCGACCAAAATCGGCGGGACACTTTCGCCAAATCTTTCAACTTCCGCGAGGGCCCCTCCAGTGCAAGCACTGATTGGGGAATGATGGGGGTGCCCTGGCACGCGCGGCGCGCCTCGCGGGCATCGCGCACCTGGCTAGGCGTCTGGCTTGGTTCCCGACGATGGTCGAGAGCGGCCCCTGCCCATGCTGAGACTCGAGTGTTACTTATGTGGTGGGAGGGCGGACGGGAGTGAGCGAGACGGCCGTCCTGCGGGGGGGTAGCTTGAACCCTCCCCCTACGCGTTCCCCGACGCCTGGACGGAGGAGCAGGCGGGTAGTTAGAGCGTCCAAGATGGCTCTAGATAGCCCGAAATGGCGCAGTATAGCTTCCTGAACGCCTCTCCGAGGTCCCAAAGGCCGCTTCAAGAGGGCTCCGAGTGGCCACGGAGCCTCCCATGGACGCCCCCTGAGGAGCCCAAATCCTTCCAACACGCGATGTTTGCCTTGTCGCCTTTTCGCTTCCGGCTGGCTTTTTATGCCGCAAGATGACCCCAGGGTGGCCCAAAGAGAACCCCAAGAGGGGCCAATAGGGCTCCAAGACGGCCAGGGGCCAGTTTTCGGGCTCCAGAGGGGCGAGGGCGATCCCACCAGCCCTCTGGGCGTACAGGGCAGTTTCTAATACACAGGATTTGTTTTAAATATCGGATATATCATACATGATTCAGTTACGAATGAACTTATGCATGAACTCATCGTTGCTTTTAATGCAAAATCCCTGCATTTTCTGTACATGCTCCGCACGCGGAGCATGCATCAAAAACGGCACTGTATGCGAATTGACGAATTTTGTCTTCTGCCTGCCAAGACCCTTCCGTCCCCTGCCAGGGGGGAGGGGCTCACCCCTCCCCCCAGATCGGCGGCACTGGCCAGAGGCCAGCCCAATAGAGATTGACCCTTCTTCTCAATAGTTATTTCGGGGCGAGATTATCCCACCAGCCCTCTGGGCGTACACCCTGCGAAATGCTTAAGAAATCATGGGTTAAGAAATTCATAGTCTCAGAAGTTGAATACAAACCCAAAAATTCTATTCAAATCTTAGGATTTACATTGAAACATTAAGAATAAACGAGACTCTGGCCGAAAATTTAAGTTTTCTTAAGCATCGCCTAAGGTGTATGTGATTTGACGAATGTTGTCTTCTCCCCGCCAAGACCCTTCCGCCCCCTGCCCGGGGGGAGGGGCTCACCCCTCCCCCCTGGCCCCCTCCCCGTGGGTCTGGACGGGGCGCCTCGCGAGGGGTTAGAGCGCCCAGGAGGAGGAGGAGGAGGAGGAGGAGGAGGAGGAGGAGGAGGAGGAGGAGGAGGAGGAGGAGGAGATGGTCTCCAGGATGGCTCAAGACAGCCTCCGACAAAGCATCCGAGAGGCCTCAGGACGGCCCCCAGACGGTCTCGAGTGCCCTCCGACCCACCCAAGGACACCCCCAGGAGGCCAACCCGATGGGCCCCTGCGGCCTCACGATGGCCCCCGGACGGCCCAAGAGGGGCCCAAGAGGGCACCAAGAGGGCCCCAAGAGGGCCCCAAGAGCGCCCAAGAGCGCCCCCAAGAGCGGCCCAAAAGGGCCTCAAGACGCAATGTTTGAGCATCCCATGGGGGGACCTGAATTGACCCCCTCCCTCGGCCGAGATGGCCCCAAGAGGCCTCCGAGGCCCCTCCAAGGAGCCCCAAGAGGGCCCCCAGACCCCCACAGTGAGCCCCCAAGAGTGCCCCCTAAGAGGGACCCACGGGGGCCCTAAGAGAGCCCCTGAGACGGCATTCGTCGTCCTTCGAAAACCTCTCACAACAACATACCTCCAAAGCCCGCATCCTCCTTGTCATTATCCGTTCTGTTCCTTCTCCTTTCCTGTCCCCCTCTTCCTCCGCCTCCTCCTCCTCCTCCTCCTCCTCCTCCTCATCATCATCATCATCATCATCATCATCATCATCATGATCAGCATCATCATCATCATCATCATCATCATCATCATCATCATCATCATCATCATCATCATCATCATCATCATCATCATCATCATCATCATCATCATCATCATCATCATCATCATCATCATCATCATCATCATCATCATCATCATTGTCGAGCCGAGGCGACTCGAGCGAAGTTCTGAGTCAACCTCTCCTTCCTCTCTTGCTGCCGCTTCCGCGGCTATGTGGGATCGAGGAGGGGGCCCCCTCTTTTTGTGCAGAGCGCGCGGCAGACACGCTTGCCGGCACGGGCCGGCGCTTGATGCTCGACGGACGAGCCCAGCAAAACACATCGTCGACGTTAATCACGACATTGGTACTGCGGAGCTAGATCCACGGACGAGTTCTGGCACTCCTGAAGGGACCAGAACATCATGGAGCGGGACGACAAGAAAGCCAAGGATGCCATCCCAGAATGGGACGGCAACCCCGGGCGTTGGCGTCACTTCGAGACGGCTGTGAAGTGGTTCCCTCGCACGCTGAAGCGGCAGGAGAGGGACCTGGCGGCGAACCGGATCATCGGGCGCATGCTGCAGAGCAAGACGATAGCGATCAGGACGTTTGCGACCACCCTGGATCCGGACCGATATGAGAATCCGAATGGCCACCTCCTCCTCTTGGACGACCTGAGGAGCAGCCCGCTGGGGAAGCTTCCGATCCCGGACGCGGCCCACAAGATCAAGCATTACTACAAGGATTTCAAGCGGCGCAAGGGCGAGACGGTGGGCGCGCTCTTGATCCGGGAGCAGGACTGCTACTCGGAGATGGTCCAGGCGCTGGAGCGCCTCCTCGAGGAGATGGGCGACAATGACAAGTACAAGCAGTGCCAGGAGTGCTTCGGCTACTTCGAGCGAGACCGAGGCGCAGCTGGACGTGGACAATGGTACTGCCAGAGGTGCTGGGACACCTGGGACGGCAACCCCGACACCCCGGCGACGGCAGCAGATGCCGCCCCTGCCGAGGAAGCAGAAGAAGCAGATGAATATGAACGACACTCTACGACGTCTCGCTCGCAGGGCTCTCGAACAGATCGTTTTCACCGACAAGAATCCATGGCAAGCAAGCTCAAGGTTTCGGAGGCGATGGCAGTGGGCTCTACTTTCTTCGGCCACGCTTCCGGAGTCCTGAAGGTCCTCCGCGGCTTCTTCCTGCTCGAGGCGATGGACTTCACCGAGAAGGAGAAGCAGGACGTCCGCGTGGTCACGCAGAACCGCTTGGACTTCGACGCGATCTCCAAGGCCTTGAAGGAGCGCTGGGAGGACAAGGCGCTGGTGCAGCGGGACTTCGGACCGAGGGCTATGCCTCGGTACGGCCCGGAGTCGGGCCAGCAGTCGGCCCTCGCCGCCGAGTTTGATGATGTACACGGGCCTGATTGGTACGATGGCTACGCGGCGGCGGTCCATGCGTGGGAGAACGAAGGGTACGACCACCACGAGGACGAGGACGACTACGATATCGAGGAGGAGCCGCAGCTAGCCTCAGAGCCGGAAGGGTCCGAGGCCGTGGATGAGGATCTCAACCACCTCAACGAGGAGCTCGAGGCGGCCCAGGCGATGGCGGCAGAGGCGTCACGCACTCTAGTTCAAGCCAGACAAGCAGTGGCCGCCGCCCATAAGGATCGAGGATTTGGCAAGCCACCATCGGGTCCAGGAGGGAAGAGCCGCCTTCCTCCGTCGTGGCCGCACCAGCAGCCCTCGAGACCGCCGTTCACGGGTCGAGGCCCGAAGGGCGGCAAGGGCGGCAAGGGCGGCAAGTACCGCGACAGGGACCGCGACCAGAAGGGCAAGAATGCGAACTACCTGGAGTTTCACACGATCACGCACGGGTTCGACGAGCTCCAGGGTATGTACCAGGCAGAGCAGAACGACAGCGGCCTCGCCCCTTCTGAGGCCATGGTTGATTGCGGGGCTTCCGCGTCCGCCGGAGGCGAGCGCGCAGTCCAGGCTCTGGTTGCCGCCGTTGCGGCCGCGAACCCCCAGGCCAGGATCGAGATCAACCAAAATGAAAGACCGTGGTTTCGTTTCGGAGACAATAAGTGGGGCAAGGCACTGTATAAGGTTTCGGTCGAGTTCGAGCCGGGCTTCGTTTTGGGCATCTTCGCTCTGAGTCCTGGTGTGCCTCTCGTTTTGTTGGGAATGACTGCTCTGGAGTCGTGGCCGGCAATCGTGAATTTCCGAACCGGGGAGGCTGTGATCAGGGGCCAACTGGTGCAGCTTCGCAAGACCCCAGTCAAGGGCCATTGCATCCTCGATCTGGTGAAGCACGTTTCCGAGATCTTAAACCCGACCGAGCAAAACACCGAGGGTCTTGCAAGGGCGTTTCAGAGATGGTCTATGGCGAAGACAACATCACCACCATCAGCATCATCTCAGACAAGAACGACACCATCAGCATCATCTCGGACAAGAACGACACCATCAGCATCATCTCAAACAAGAACGACATTATCAGCATCATCTCAGATAAGAACGACACCATCATCAGTACATGCAGCTATGACGACAACACCGCCAGTGATAACAGCAACATCACCCCCATCAACAATAACAGGAAGAGCAGCTCCATCATGGTCATCTCCTCCTCCGCCGTCTTTTGGCTCTAGAACTCGCTCAGAGCGACTTCCGACAATCCGCAAGCCGGCGTTTCAGCCAGCACGTTTTCATGGAGGGCAAGGACGAATGGGTACCTGTCGACATGGATGCCGACAAGAAGGAGGAGGGCACGGAGGTCAAGTCACCTTCGGCGGCAGCGAGCTCCGGACCTACGACCCAGGTCAAGCGGGAGTTCGTCTTCAACGGCCAGAAGATGGAGTACGTCACCTCGGAGGGCAAGGTCAAGGAGAAAGATCCGGGCAGCACGCACCAGGGTCGCAAGAAGGAGAAGCAGATGGAGCTGGACCCGGCGTTCGCGCTGCAGGTGGACCCCCGCGACCCGAGGACCACACGGGGACCGTGCGGCAAGATGCATCGCAAGTACTTCACGATCAACAACCAGTGGGGCCAGACCAGGACATGCTATCGGTGCGGGCTGAGGCTGCTCTACATCCCGACGACGAAGGCGCCGATGACGAACCTCAGCATGCAGCATCCGAAGTTGGTGGAATCCGGCCTGGAGTTGGTGCGGCACTGCAACCTATGGGAGACGGCCAATCACGAGCAGGTGACCGCGATGATCAACATCGCCACCTCCCTCCGGAGGCTTCCCGGGACCGAGATCCGCCACGCGCCGGACGCGCTGCTGGAGATGCTGGGGGCAGCGAACCCCAGGCGCAAGGCCCAAATGGCGGAACCAGTACCCGGGCAGGTCTGAGCCGGGTGCCGAGGCAGCTTCTGGCTGCCGGACGCCGGAGGTCGCTACTCGCAGGACTGGCCTTGGTCATGACCGTGGGCACGATCACCGAGGCGGTGGAGATCTGCTGCCATCCCAACAGCATGCTGACCGACGAGTGCACCAATATCGGCCTCAGCATGGAGAGGATCAGCATCGAGAACGGTTACAACCTCAGCACGAAAGCGGGTTCGAGGCTGCTGGCAAGAAGCTGGACGAGGTGATGCCGAAGCGGGCTTGGATATCGCTACCATGCACGCTATGGACTTCGCTCACGAACTCCAACTACCAGACCCCAGAGGCACGTGCACGCCTAGAGAAAGACCGACTTCGAGACCGACGACGTGTGAAGTATGGAGTTCTCCTGTTGCTAAAGATTGTTGACAACGGAGGCGAGGTCTACTTCGAGTGGCCCCACAGGTGCCAAGGCTGGAAGATTCCCGAGCTCAATTTTCTTCGTATGGAGTTGAGGCGTCGGGGCCGACACGTCTTCGAGGATCGGATCGACGGGTGCATGTACGGCCTCAGGGACTACAACACCAACGAGCTCGTCGAGAAGGGCTGGAGGATCCTGACCACCGACCCGGAGTTCTCCAAGGTCGCGACCGTGTGTGACCATTCACACGGTCACCGAGTCATCAACGGGAAGCAGCACACCGCAGCCACCGCCTACTACCCGCAGGCGATGTGCAAGGCGATCGCCCGGCTGTGGCATGCTCAACTCCGGACACCGATCGACCTCAACATGGCCCTGGAGAACCCTGCTGTCCTAGACCTCGAGAATACCTACCTGATGGAGCGGGACACCGGGAGCATCTACGTCGCTGAGCCCACGGATCTCGAGAGGGAGCAGGTGCGCGCGATGTTGAGCAGGATCCACAAGGCTGCAGGCCACCCAGGGAACGAGCACTTGGCGTACTGGTGCAAGAAGCGGCAGTGTCCACGCTGGATCATCGAAGAAGCGATCAACCTTCGCTGCGAGGCGTGCGACCTGGTCAAGCACGGCCTCTCCCACAAGGTCAAGGCGAGCCTCGATATCCCCATGGCACCTTGGCAGGCAGCCGTCATGGACGTTTCTGACCTGACGTTCCCGGACTTGAATGTGAAGGCCCGGTTTCTCCTCATCGCAGAGGTCGCCACCGGCCTGATGTGCGGGGACATCACTGCGAAGATCGGCCTCAAGGACAAGGGCACCGATTCGTCAGCTACGCTGTTCACGACGTTTGCCAGAGCCTACCTTCAACATTATCCAAAGCCAAGGTGGGTTTTCGTCGATCCTCAGACCTCTTTTGTGGGCGGCGAGTTTAAAGACAACTGCCAGTTGGCCGGCATCGGCGTCTCAGCGAAACCAGGAGGAGCACATTGGATGGCTGGCGACATCGAGCGCCGCATCTCGATCGTCAAGCAGGTGATGAGGAAGCTTCGCCTACAATATCCCAAGCTGAGTCCCGAGACCGTGTTTTACATCTCGATTGCGGCGGCCAACAACATGGACAACATCAAGGGCTACACGCCGATGCAGTGGGCTTTCGGGTTTTCTCCGACCGAGGACCCTATCTTGGCGCACAACGCAGCTACCGGCAAGTTGAAGTCCGACTTCTTCGAGATCGAGCGGGTGCGAGCGGATGCGGAGGCCACCTACCTGAAGGAGAAGGCGTCCAGGAAGATCTCAGAGCTTAAGAACTCAGCCCCACGACCTCGACATGAATATAAACGAGGCGACTGGGTCTGTGTCTGGCGGTCGTATGCCGCGACAGGAAAACGAAAGCTCTCAGGGCAGGACTTCTTCACGGACGGCTTGTTCATCGGACCGGGCCGGGTCTTGTTCTCCGAGCCGGCGGTTCAGACCGGCAACAAGGACGGCGTGATCTGGGTCATCATGGGCAACCGATGCTGGCGCTGCGCAGCTGAGCAGCTGCGGCCAGCCACGCAGTCGGAGATCGTCCAGATCAACCTGAAGAAGGACGACATCCTCAACAGTCCGCTCGAGGACGTCTGGAGGCACCTCCAGGACTTTGACGACATAGCCGGGGAGCCCTACCCAACGGCAGATGGCATGAGGATGCTGCCGCGGCAACCTCTGGAAGGCATGCCGAGGGTGATCGAGAACCCCGATGTGGCCGTGGAACCCCACGACGTCACGGAGGCAGAGGGCGACCAGGAGGTAGACGAGGACAACTCAGCACCAGAGCCACCACAGATCAAGCGAACAAGAGTGAGAGGCAAGACGCCGACTGTGTCGTGGCCACCTGTTCCGACCGAGGCTTTCCAACCGCGTTTTGGGAGATCATCTTCATCAAGAGCCTCAGCTGAAGTTGCTCACGCTGCCCTCTTCCAGGCGGCGAGCGACCACGCGGAAGCAAGCGAGATCGACATTATCAACTTCGTGCAGGATCCGAATAACGAGTCCGAGATGGACCTGATGAAGATCGAGATCGAGGCCGACCTTGAGGAGTTCTGCTTCGATGCGAGCGCGTACTTGGAGAAGCAGCTGAACCGCGTGGCCAACAACACGGTCAAGAAGGGCGTGGAGGTTTCGTTTGGCCGCCTGAGCCCCGAAGACAAGCCACTGTTCCAAGAGGCAATGGCACGGGAGCTGGCGGAACATCTGGAAGTACCGACAGTCCGGGCTGCATCTGCTTACGCTGACTACAATCATGGAAAAGATATTCCAGCGGACAAGCTGATCAAGATGAGGTGGCTACTGACCTGGAAGCCTCTGACGCCACCTGAACCGCCGGACAAGTCGGACCCACACCCCGTGAGCACGCCGGACGGGAAGTTTAAGGCGAAGGCCCGTATCATTCTGTTGGGCTTTTCACATCCGGACCTTGTCAGTCGAGACAAGTTCGGAGATCGGGTGCTTCCTACGGCGTCGCCAACAAGTTCAAGAAAACGGAAGCTGGCACTCCTCCAGATGGCTGCTTTTCACGGCTGGACCTTCGAGCTAGCCGACGCGAAGTCTGCCTTCCTGCAGGCCGGGCACACTGAGGAGTGGAGGAAGCTCTACACCAAGGGCGTGAAGGAGCTTCGGCAGGCCTTGCAGATCAGCGAGGAGGAGTCCATGCGAGTCCTGGCGGCGATCTACGGGATCACGAATGCGCCGTGGGTCTTCTGGAAGTATGTGGACCACAAGATCCACGAGGCAGGAGGCAAGAGCGTCCTCATCGAGCCGTGCATCTGGATCATTCAGGATCAGGACGGCACCGTGTGCGGGGTCATCGGCTCGCACGTGGACGACTTCGGCATCGCGGGCGACAGCGACAACAAGTTCTACCTCGACATGAAGAACATGCTGAAGGAGATGCTGCGGTGGTCTCCATGGCGAAGCACGCCGTGCATGTGGGCAGGCATGTGGATCACACAGGAGCCGTCGGGTAAGATCCATGCCAGCCAGGAGGAGTTCTGTCACCAGCTCCTCGAGATCAGGGTCGAGTCCGGCAAGTATCTCTCGAAGGATGACAAGCTCAAGCCGGAGGACGTCACCCAGTTCAGGGCGGGCCTGATGAAATGCCAGTGGAGAGCGACGCAGACAGCACCGCAGTTCTCGTGCCGGGTGTCACTGTTGGCTCAGCGGGTGAACGAGGCGACGTTCGGGGACCTGAAGGACACGAACGCCCTCATACGAGATGTGAAGCGGACCGCTCGTGACTCATTGGTGTTCCACAACTTCAACAGCAACTGCGGCGGTAAGCTGAAGTGGGACGACCTAGTGATTGTGACGTGGGTCGACGCAAGCAGGCTACTCCAACGAGGCGGCTACATCGTGGGTTTCACGATGGCCGAGATTCTCAAGCAGAAGGAATGTGCGGTCTCTATCGCCGACTGGAGATCGTACAAGCTCAAGCGCACCGGCATCGGCACCAATGGCTGCGAGGGCCAGGCTCTGTACGACGGAGAGAACGCCGCGTACTTGATGCGCTTGCTGTGGTCAGTCATGCACGGAGTTCCAGTTACCGCGCACACCCAGGAGGAAGTGGCGCAATCTATGACCTCAGTGCTGGTGATCGACAGTCGGGGAGTTTACGACTCGGTTCACAACAAGGAGAGCTTCGGCATAGGCCTGAGCGACGCGAGGACCGGCGTGGAGGTATTGCACGTGAAGGCGAACTGCGGGCCCGAGAAGAATCAGCACCTGGTCTGGGTGCCCTCGGACCTCAACCTCACCGACGGCCTCACGAAGGACAGTCCTGAGGCTAGGAAGCCTCTGGCGCTGTGGCTTGCGCGGCGCACCTGGATCATCAGGTACGACGAGGATTTCATGTCAGCCAGGAAACGACAGCGAGCTAACAAACTCGCTCAGGACAAGCCGCAGCCGACTACTGACGCTGAAGCCGAGGCCGCCGACGCTTTAGCTTTTCTCGACCTATCTTGAGGGTAGTGTCGGGCTCATTCTCATAACCCTTTTCCACATTTGTACTGTGCAGGGCCCTCCTTTGATCCAGTTCGGTCGGAACGGTTGAGAAGGATTTTAGGCTCATGTCAAGCCGAGGCGACTCGAGCGAAGTTCTGAGTCAACCTCTCCTTCCTCTCTTGCTGCCGCTTCCGCGGCTATGTGGGATCGAGGAGGGGGCCCCCTCTTTTTGTGCAGAGCGCGCGGCAGACACGCTTGCCGGCACGGGCCGGCGCTTGATGCTCGACGGACGAGCCCAGCAAAACACATCGTCGACGTTAATCACGACAATCATCATCATCATCCTCATCATCACCACCATCACCACCATCAGCATCAGCAGCAGCATCATCATCACCATCAGCAGCAACAGCATCAGCATCATAAGCATCATCATCATCATCAGCATCAGCAGCAGCAGCATCATCATGTTCATCATCATGTTCATCATCATCATCATCACCACCACCACCATCATCATCATCATCATGCTCATCATCATGCTCATCATCATCATCAGCAGCATCAGCATCATCATCATCACCATCATCATCATTATCATCATCAATATCACGATCATCATCATCAGCAGCATCATCGTCAGCAGCAGCAGCATCAGCATCATAATCATCATCATCAGCATCATCGAGGTCATCACCATCATCACCATCAGCAGCAGCATCACCATCACCATCATCATCACCATCATCACCATCATCAGCATCACCAGTAGCAGGAGCATCAGCATCACCATCATCATCAGCAGCATCATCATTATCATCAGCATCATCGTCATCAACATCATTATCGTTGTCATCATAATCGCCATCATCATCATCATCATCATCATCCTCATCATCATCAGTCGCATCATCACCATTGTCCACATCAACATCACTATCATGTTGATCTGCATCATAATCACCATCAGCATCATCATCACCTTCTTCATCAGCATTACCACCGTCAGCATCATCATCAGCAGCATCAGCATCAGCATCAGCATCAGCATCAGCATCAGCATCAGCATCAGCATCATCATCATGATCATCATCATCATCATCATCAGCATCATCATCATCATCATCATCATCATCATCATCATCATCATCATCATGGATCATCATCATCATCATCATCATCATCATCATCGTCATCAGCATCAGCATCATCTTGCTCGTGCCGCATTCCTCCTCCTCCTCCTCCTCTTCCTCCTCTTCCTTCTTCCCCCGCCTCCTCCTCCTCCTCCTCCTCTCTTTGTCCTCCTCCTCCTCTTCCTCCTTTACCTCCTCCTCCTCCTCCTCCTTCTCCTCCTCCTCCTCCTCCTCTTCCTCCTCCTACTCCCAAGATGGTCCCAGGAGCTCGAGCATGGCTTAAGACAGCCTCATATAGACCTCCAAGAGGCCTCAAGACAGCCACAAGACGGTCCAAGATAGCTGGTCATGGTTCAGAAAAGCCTCCGACAGCCTCTAGCCGAACATGACTCACGATAGCCTCCAAGGGGCTTCAAGAAGCCTCCGATCGTGTCTGGATGGGCTGGTGTGGATACGCGAAGCGTCAAGAATTAGGCATCCCCCGCTTCCCCCCCGCCAAGCAAGGGCCCCAATAGGGCGACAAGATGACCCAAAGGCAGCCCTTGGCCCAAAGAGTGCCCCAATATGTATTCAAGAAGCCATCAAAAGGCTCCCTGAGCGAAAGACCCGCAGAGGCTCTTATGGTCGTCGTCGCTGGCGCCGCAGCCGTCGTCGCCGTCGTCTTGGTCGTGTTCGTCGTGCTCGTCGTCGTCGCGTTCGTCGTGCTGGTCGTACTCGTCGTTGTCGTCGTGCTCGTCGTTGTCGTCGTGCTCGTCGTCGTGCTCGTCGTCTTCGTCGTCCTCGCCGTCGTCGTCATCGTCGTCACCCTCTTCTTTCCCAATCCACTCCCACTGTCCTCTTCCTCCCACTCCGCTCCTCTATAATTACCACCTCCTCCTCCTCCTCCTCCCGCCTCGCTCCTCCTCCTCCTCCTCCTCCTCCTCCTCCTCCTCCTCCTCCTCCTCCTCCTCCTCCTCCTCCTCCTCCTCCCACCTCGCTCTTCCTCCTCCTCCCTCCGCCCTCCTCCCCTTCCTCCTTCCCCAAGTCTTTCCTCTGCATCCTTCTCCCTCCTCGGGGAGAGGCTAGTAAGCAACTCCACTCCTGGGCATGCTCAGGCGGATTCGCCGCGCCTGGGCCCGCCGCCTGACTCGGTGGCCTCTTCCTCCGGGTGCTCCTGCACTTCCCTGGGCAGGGCAGTTCGCCTGGCGATCGCTGCTGGGTGGGCGGGTGGGGGTACGCGACACGTCGGGAATGGATGCTTCCACTGCTGCTCTCTTTTCTGCTCGAAGTCCTGGATCATGAGGTTCAGCTGCTCGATATACTCCTTGTACTTGTCCTGCTGCAGCGCCACGTTCAGCACCGTGTGCGGCAGCTCCAGACCGCCCATCTGGTCCAGGTGGCGCGCCTCGCGGACCAGCAGCTGGAGCTCGCGGGCGAAGTTGACCTCGTACTCCCTTGTCTTCGGGTCGACCTTGAGCACGTTCAGCTTCAAGCACTCCTCCGAAAGCTTTACGGCATCGGTCTTCCAGGCCTCGAACAGCTTCTTCTCGTACTCCAGGATGTCCTTGCCGAGGTCGACGTACTCCTTGCACGCCTTCTGGCCCTCTGCTTGGGTCAGCAAGCCTGGCATGGTCTTGAATCGGAGCACAGGCTGCTTCGCCCGGTGGAAGATACTGCGGGCCCACAAGATGGAGCCAGCGACGGGCGGTGTGCTCTTGGAGATCGGGGGGTTCCCCTGGCAGCTACGGAAGATCTCCTGGAATCGCTTGACCTCCTCCTCGTACTTCATGAGGATCTCTTTGAACTTGTGCTCCATCGTTTTGTTGATCGCTTCCCTGGACTTGATATTCTTGAAATTCTGCAGGAGCTTAAACGCACCCTCTGAGGAGCGCAGGTTCTTGAACGAGCGATTCAGGAAGTCGATTGCCTTGCCCTCAATCTGGTTCACACGCTCTTTGAATTTCACGACGAGGCTGTCCCAGTGCGACTGGTTGAGCTCATCGAAGACGTATTTCATATTTCTGAAATCGATCTTCAGCGCCTCGACCTCACCGAGCAGGGAATCGATGCCCTGGGAGTCGCCGGTGACCTCCTTGAGCTCTGGGCCGAGGAACTTGTAGAACTGGTCGAGCACCTGCGCAATCTCGTGGAGGTCCTTGCAGACCTTGGACATGTACATCGTCCTTCGGGGATGGACAGACCTCCCTTTAGTAAACCGTGGTTTAGTGACAACGACCTGAGGCCCAAACCTGGCGGGCGCAGGCCTGGAAAATAACGGCCATGGCGCCCTCTCGAGAACCGAAAACGGACAATTCACTAATCGGCGTGTCACTGCTGGGGGTTCTGTCGACCCCCGAGTCCTCTTGAAGAGCGCCTGTCGGTCGAACTCCCAGCGGTGGTCTGAGGCGCTGGACTCGATCTTCTCGCGCGTCTCCAAGTAGGTCGTGTACCATTTCTCCAGCGCGGTATCACCCTCCTTGATGATCGCCATGGCTTTCTGGATCGACGTCGACCTGCTTCCCTCCGGGTCCATGTTGAAGATCTGGTGGATGTTGATCTGCTCCTCCACCTTGTCTGCAATCTGGTCAGCTATACGCTTCATGAGCGGCTCCATGAGGTCATCCGTGTTGAAATACCGCGAAATGATCCAGACCATGCGAATCGCGTTCATCAGGGACGGCAGCGTCTCGCAGATCATCTGCATGGACCCGCTCTGGAGGTTCTTGAAGTGCCGCTCCAGGGTGGTCAAAAACTTCACATTGTCCTTGGCCATGATGTGCATCTGGTTCAGCGACGTGAACTGCTCCACGAAGACCGTCAGCACCCTGTTCTCGACGCCGCCCTCGTCGCCCGCGAGGATCTCGCGGACGCGCCGCACCTGCGGGAGCTGCAGCTGCTCGTAGACGGTGGAGACCTTGGAGGAGCGGTCGCGCCAGAAGTCGATCTCCGCCATCGGGTACTTGCTCTCCCTCTGGCGGTTGTGCTCCTCTCGGGCGGACGTTGGCGGAAGTGGGAGAGATCCACCTCTCTCTCCTCTCTCTCTCTCTCTCTCTCTCTCCTCTCTCTCTCTCTCGCTCGCTCGCTTCCTCTTTCTCTCGCTCTCTCGCTCGCTCTCTCTCTCTCTCTCTCTCGCTGTGTTTTGGCAATCGCCCGCCCACCCCGAAAAAGTGAGATTCGAAACGGGGGGCGATCAAAGGCTGCAGGAAAGCTGCCCTAGACGGCCCCGAAGCTGCCACCGCAGCCAGCGCAAAGCAAAGCGCTGGAAAGCCGCGCCTTTCTCCCCCCCCCCGTCCACTTCTCCCCCGTTGCCGCCCGCCGATCCTCGTCGTAAACGACGCCCTCCACTATCTTGGTCCACTCCTCGACGGCCATCTCCAGCTCCTTCATGGCCTCCGGGTCCCGCTGGATGGCCTCCGCGTCCTCCAGGTCCATGCGGGGGACGCGGATGTTCACGTTCCCGTAGACCTGCATCACCGTCTGGTGCACGTGGCCCGTGAACTTGTGCGTGGACGCGAAGATCTCCTCCTGGATCTGCGCGGGCAGGGTGATCGCCCGCACCTCGTCGTCCGCTGAGGCGTGCTGCTGCGGCACGTCCGCCTCCTCCGACTCCTGCTCCGTCTCGGGCTCGCCCTCGGGCGCCGCGGTCTCGGCCTCCTCGCTCCCCTCGTGGGCGCCGCCCTCGCCCGCCTCACCGCTCTCGGCGGCGGGCAGCTTCCGGGTGCTGCCCTGGCTCTTCAGGGAGCTCCTGGTGAGCACGGGCAGGTAGATCTCCCGCATCATGCTCTCCAGGTCCTTGAGGAAGGCGCTGGAGACGGAGCCGAAAGTCAGGCAGCTGCCCACGTCGGATTTCGCGACCGCGCCCGCCACCGACTTCATGAAATAGAGGCAGCCGCGATCCAGGGGGCGCTGGCCCTCCACGAGGCCCCCCACCACGACGCAGAGCACCTCCTTCGTGGCCCCAACTATGGACCTGTCGCTGTCGCTGTAGGCTTCGGAGTTCGAATCGAACGCAGCCATCCCGCGCCCCCCCCCCCCCCACCCCCAGGGCCCGTTGCCCCTGGGGGGGGTTATCAACCAGTGACCTGCTCCTATTCCTGCTCCTCCATCCCGCTTGTTATTAGATAGAAGATCCTCGTCGCACAACCAGGCGTTGGCAGGGCGGGCTAGGCGTCTCGCTTAAAAACTTCCTCACCGCTACCACCGTTGTGAACCTGAAGAGCGAGATTTCAAACAGGTGCACACCTGCAGAGCAAGTCATTTTCATAATGTGGCCCTCGTCTCAATGCCGTCCACAACCGTCTTCAAAGATCCCACAGTTCCAACAATTATACGCATGATTGACGGCCCGTCCGCAAAATGATAGCATCGCTGAGCGTGCCGCACAGTCGTTTGCATGTTTCCATCAGTTACACTGACGGAGAGCGGCCCATACTCAAAATGACACTCTCGCTTGAGCACCGCGCCAGGTCATTTGAAATATTCCTTGCAGCTGCACTGATGGAGAGAGGTTCCTTGTCGAAGCGAAGTATTGCTTGAGTCTTCTTTAGCTGTGCCAGATACAGGCCTCGGAAAAAATAGCGAACACTCATGCCACATTCATCTGTGAACGCCTCCCCCTCCCCCCAATGTTCAAAGTTGGCGGTGGGTCTGATGAGTTGCACCTCGACCGCAGTCTCCCCCCCCCCGCGCGCCAACTTTGAGTTTGGGGGGCAGGGGGGGTGTTCACTAATTGTTTCCCTCTGCCGTATTCACAGATGTAAGGCGCCTCACTTTCAGAATCGGGTCTTCGCTGAAGACTTGTTCAGTCGCGGGGCACTGAGCGGGGAAGGAAGCAGGGAGACTGGGGGGGGGGGAAGAGGCAGGACGACTGAGGGAGAGGAGAAGGGAGAGGTATATAGGGGAGAGGGGGAATCGTACGAGGAGGAGGAGGAGAGGGAGGAGGAGGAGGAGGAGGATGAGTAGGAGGAGGATGAGGAGGAGGAGGGAAGGAGGAGGAGGAGGAGGAGGAGAGGAGAGGAGAGGAGGAGGAGGAGGAGGAGGAGGAGAGGGGGAGGAGGAGGAGGAGGAGGAGGAGAGAGGAGGAGGAGAGGAGAGGAGGAGAAGGAGGAGGGGATCGCTGCCACGAGCAGACGCGGAACCAGCGTGCAACCAAGGGCGCAGACGCAGGCCGACTCCTCCTCTTCGCCGAGCGGGGCCCTCGCTGGACAGACACCCCCTCTTTGAGCTTCTTGCGATCACGGCCCTGACCATTTCTTCCTCCTCCTCCTCCTCCTCCTCCTCCTCCTCCTCCTCCTCCCTCCTCCTCCTCCCTCCTCCTCCTCCTCCTCCCTCCTCCTCCCTCCTCCCTCCTCCCCTCCTCCCTCCTCCCTCCTGCTCCCTCCTCCTCCTCCTCCCTCCTCCTCCTCCCTCCTCCTCCTCCTCCTCCTCCTCCTCCTCCTCCTCCTCCTCCTCCTCCTCCTCCTACTCCTCCTTCCTCCTCCTCCTCCTCCTCCTCCCTCCTCCTCCTCCTCCTCTCCTCTCCTCCTCCTCCTCCTCCCTCTCCTCCTCCTCCTCCTCCGCCTCCTCCTCCTCCTCCTCCTCCTCCTCCTCCTCCTCTACCACCACCTCCTCTTCCTCCTCCTCCTCCTCCACCTCCTCCTCCTCCTCCTCCTCTTCCTCCTCCTCCTCCTCCTCCTCCTACCTCCCCCTCCTTCTTGTAGCCAAACCGGCAGAGGGCGGCTCTCCCGCGGGACCCGCGTGGCGGCGTGCAGGGCACCACGCACTGCCCCTGCCCATTCGCAGCCAGATCGTGGGGGCGTCTTGGTTCCCGAAACAGGAGAACGAAAAGAGAGAGGGCGGCTCTTTCCTCAGAGTTGGGCTCTCGCCCGAATGGCAGGCTGATTGGGCGCGCGCGTCTCTCCAGGGGGCGCTCCCCTCCGTGAGGCGCAGAACTCGTGGGAACTGCCTGTGCGGAGCACCCTCGGGACGAGGGCGCACGGCCACGAGCCTTGACTTATCAAGGGGCCCCAGGACACACACACACACACACACACACACACACACACACACACACACACACACACACACACACACACGTGTATATATATATATATATATACACATATAAATACACACAAATAAAACGATTCCCCATATTTCCCAAATTTTTGGGGGTTCTGTCTCCCCCCCCACTTCCCATATGTTCCTATAGTTTTCTGGGGAATCGACGATTAATTGTGTCTGTGTGTGTTCTTTCCCTCCTGAACTTAGAGAGTCGCGGCGGCGGCCCCTGCGAGACGTCATGCCTCAACCAGCCGGTCGCGCGTCGCCCCTCCGGTGGGGGTGCTCTGGCGCCTGCCTGCGGCCAATGGACGTACCGCTTCGGTATGCACGCTCGTATTCGAGAGGTATGTTCGCCAGCGTGAACCCCAGTGGGTTCTTCCTTTCTCGATGTGGTTTCTACACCTCCGGGCCGAGAGTTTGTTCCTCTTGGACTTCAGATATGACAGCACCAATGGATCCGCGGGATGGCGACGTCGGCAAAGGCTGGCCAGGCCTCTGATTCCCGACGAGTGCTCTTCCGGACGGGTTTCGACTGCCGCTTCCCCCCGCGGAGGGCGGGACACTCGGGAAAAAAAAGCGTGGCGCCCCTCAGGCTGCGTTCGCGATTCGGACGAAGATAGCTATGCACATGCACCGATCCTGACAACGTCCATCCTTGACCCTGGATCGGTGCATATACCTTCCTAGCCAAGGTAGGAGGGCGTATGCACCGATCCTGGGCTCAGGGTGGGCCTGGCCAGAATCGGTGTATTTGCATAGTTCTCTTTCATCTAGCAATGGGGTCTGGTCACACTCGCAATGCTGACAGCGCGTCGCGCCGCAGCGTGGTGGGTCAGAACCAGCGGCGCGAACCGCCCAGCAGAAATTCCCTGCCGTGTTGCAGCATCGTTGAAAAAATCCCGGGTTTGCTCAGGTCCTCCTCTTTGCGCCGCGTACAGAGGGTGATGCGGGAGGGGCGGCCTTCTGAGCAAGCGGGGTGCTACTCAAGACTCGCCAAACATAGATAAACAATGTTTGTTTTCGGCTCTTGCGCGGTCGGCGCTACTTCAATACTGGCATTCGGTGTTCGGCCCACACCGCAGGGTTGTCCGAAATCCGGCAGTGCCCTCACAGCATCGAAGAACGCGTTCTCTGACAAGTCCCGACCTATCGGGCGCTTCGATGTTCAACGGCGCCTCAATGTCTCTTCGACAAGGCTTGTAAGAAGGCACGGGGCTCCTTAAAGCCTTCCCTGCTTCTCAGGAGCCGCCCCAGAAGCCCCCCGGGCCCTTTCCAAGAAGGCCCCTGCTTGTTACAGAGAGCCGCCCGCCTTCTAGGAGGGCCGAACCCCTCTCGAGCCACCCCTCTGCGCGCGCCAGCATATCTTCCTCTCCTCCTCCTCCTCCTCCTCCTCCTCCTCCTCCTCCTCCTCCTCCTCCTCCTCCTCCTCCTCCTCCTCCAGGGGGAACGATACGGAGGGACTGGCGCAGGGGGGGGGGGGAACATCGATCTGGAATCGGCGATACAGCGCCGGTACATCGGCGATAGGCCCCGATGGCGAATCCGCGCGCTCCCGGGCGGGGCGGGCTCACAGGCCTCCCTCGGCGACGCACGGGTGCCCGGGGGCCGATGCCTCCTCCCCCCCGCGGCCCAGCTCCCCCTCCGCGTGGCCTCCGTGGCTCCTGTGGCCGCTCGCGGGCTCTCCTCGGCGGCCGCTCGGGACGACCCGGGCACCCTCAGAGAGGGCTCGTCGGCCAGGCGCTCCCGCTGGCAGGCACCCCGAGGCCGAGCCGAAGGGGAGCGCCCGCACACCTCGGGCCCCGCACTCGGCCCCCCGCGGGGGGCGGCGGCAGCCCCGACCTGGACTGGCCCTTCTGCGGGGGGGGCACCGCCTCCTGGGGCGCGGGCGCCGCCGCCTCCTCGGAGCCCAGCTCCTCCGCCTGCGGGCGGCCGGGGAAGAAGGAGAGCGATGCCGAGCGGGAGGGCCTAAACTCTGTGGCCCGCTCTGTCCTCGTTGTGCTGCTCGGTCTGCCCCGTTTTGTCCTGCGCCTCCCTGCCGAGACGACGAGAAGCAGGACGCGGCCGAGGCCCAGCAAAGCAGCGTCTCGGCCCAGCCCCGGAGGCCGAGCAGGAAGGCCATGGGGCCGAACCTCTCTTCTGCTTCCGCCAGACTTGTACACGTTTCCTTCTTTTTTGTTGTTCTTCCTCCTCCTCCTCCTCCTCCTCCTCCTCCTCCTCCTCCTCCTCCTCCTCCTTCTTTTCCTTGAACAATGTTGACGGCTCAGAAAAAAGGAGGAGGAGGAGGAGGAGGAGGAGGAGGAGAAGGAGGAGGAGGAGGAGGAGGAGGAGGGAGGGGCAGCTTGTCGCCCCAGGCTCACGCTTGGCCCCAGGGGCCCGAGCAAACGGCCCCCGAGGGCCGAGATCGAGGAGAACCCGCCAGGACATGAGCTGCCAAGAGACGCAGCGCGCAACACGCAGCGCTTTGATATGGAGCTCAAGGCGTACACTGAGAACGCAGGTCTGACGCGATACGTTCGCCCAGACGTGGGCCAACACGTTGAGCCAGCACGCAACGCACTGACACGGACGTTTTGAGCACGGCACGTGCTCCGCATCGAGGCAGCGAGGGCCAGGATTCAAACACACCGATGCGCACGGGCCTCGATTCTCGACGTCGGCGCTGTTCGGAGGGGCGAAGAGCGGTGAAAGGCGAGGGCCTCGGGCCCCACAAAAGAGGCCCCAGATCTGGGCCACAGCCG